GGAAACTCGTCCAGACATGATGGCATCATGCAGCTTTCCAGAAAACACCAAAAACAATGACTTGTACCTCGTCCGTAGGCGAGACTTGGCGAAAACAAATCTCATCACATCAGCCAGCTATTTGGATACAAATTCCAGAGTAAAATGCAGCATGCATTCCAGTCCAAACATAGTCACAGCACACCGGGTATATCCATATACTTTCATACAAGTGTGACCCGCCGAAAGGGAACGGGCGCCGACCACACAAAAATTGTCAGCCCAGAAAGCCAAGCTGCTCTCAGCCCGGAAGTCGCCACAGCTGAGATCCAGTGCTTGTCCATCCGAGATCACAGAGAGCAGCCGTTCAGGCATAACATTCACCCTGGCACTTCGAAGCAAACACCGACAACGCTGGGTCGCAACGAGAGTGGTGAAAAACGAATGAAAGGTGAAACAGGAGGTGAGACATGATCTATTGTGAAAAATGACAGCAGTAGCTACGGCATTCAGGGCGCACTCAGAGTCCGCTCAGTAGTTCTTTTCCAAGGATCATTATTGGGACTGTAGGGCACCCTTGCGGTGCATGCTGCTTTCAAAACTGTATCCAATGCGATCGAGTTTGCGATGATCGCTGTATTGATGCAGGCTTGCAAGCGTGGAGCTCCTTCAGCGTCAACAAATGCATGCGTTGCAGTCAATTGTATTCGATGCGGTCGGTTGACCATGGTTGCTGGCTCAGCCACATTGGTACAGGGATGCGAGCGTTCATTCTCTGGACAGGGACCAGGTCTGTCATCGAAGTGTTCAGCCGAGGTCCTAGACGGGCAACTTGTGTCAGCTGTGTTGAGGTCCTCTGTAGGGAAGTGTTGTGCGCTCGCTTGCATGAGCTGTCGGCTTATAACGGATGCGACTCTTCAGGCAACAGCAAGCCGTGCGTATGGCTCTGCAATCTTGCTCGTTGATTGCGCCTGCAAGGAGTTCTGTTTGCTGCATCTTGTGCCTCATTTTGACTCTGGGGTTCAGGCAGGCAGGCCAGTTCACTCGGTTGAGATGTACTTTGAATCGTCCTACGCTACCAGTTACAATTAGTGGCCCCGTTAGAATGTTACTATTGCCCCCCCTCCCCCTTCCTCCCTCCCCATACTTACTAGGCTAGCTTACCACACAATCAGAGATAAAGGGTGTCCCAGATCCACTAAGCACTAGTCAACCATGGGTACCTCTTGGTGACAGCACCTGTGTTGCACAGTGGCAACCGTGGGTAGCCCACATTAACCGTTTGAGATACTGGAACTGCACGGGCGTACGCGCTGGGGTGTTCATGGCTGCCGGTGCTGCTGGCTGCACTGTTTGAGGGAGGTGGGTCACTACTTCCTGCTGGCTGGATCATTTGCGCAATAAGTGGATGATTTTGCTTTTCGAGCAGAATCTTGGTCATTTCTCGAGTGAAAGCTGCAGGGTCGTCAACTAATGCCTTGGCGTCCGCAACTGGCGTCCCCAATGCGAGGATGAAGGGACTGTCAGGCAGCGTGGAGGACGGCAGGTCTGCGATAGCGGCTACTGCACGGCGAATGTCACCATCTTTGACTTCATAAGAAGGGGAAGATTTCTGTCCAATGGCCGGCTCGGAGTCAGCCCAAAGTTGCCGCAGTGTGTTTCCTGTCTTCGGTTCCATGTATTTTCGGTTCCACACTGCGTTGTGAGACCATTGGGGTGCGTTGTGATTTATTTCTACTGAATCTCTTTTCATGTCGTATTCTCTTAACATGTCGTCGAGTTCTTGGAGGGTTGCAGATAGATGAATACAACATTGCCGGACGGCACCATCGATGTGTAGTGGCCATCCCACTGGCATGTGGGAATCTTCAAGCCCATCACCATTTTGTTCGATGATTGTGCCTAGCATTGGGACGTCAATTGTTGCCTTGAGGCTGACCTGCGCTCGTTTGCATTTCCATGCATCCGGTGCAAGTAAGCCACGTGAGGCCAGTAATGCTAGTGCTGGGAATTCTGGTTGGTCTTTCATCGGTAGCACCTCTTCTTTAATAACCAGTTTAAGGCCATGTAGCGGTTGGGGCTGCCCTTGTGAAAAACGTAAACCCAAGTACACCTCTCGTGTACCCAAATCAACGCTTTCATTATTTCACTACGCCAGACGCAAACACCTACTGTGGTTGCGGCCCCGCAGTTACTTACTTCTCTGCAATGTCAAATAAAGGAACTTGTTCCACCCTGACTCCTAAGTGCACGTCAGACTCCTTCTTTTCTCTCCAGACGCCACACACAACGGAACAGGTCAACAGGAACCAGGGCAGGCACACGGCCACAGCCCACAAACAAAGGAAAGAAGTTCCAGTGTGGCTACTGTTTCAAGTGCCCTAGGTGACACTGCAGTTCAGTTCGCTTCGGAACATTTGACACCACTCCCTTGAGCCGATGTCTCAACTGGGAAACTCGATTCCAGGTTTCCAATCCACAACCTTTCCTCAAAGGTTGCTGAAACAATTCCAAACTGCTATGATATACAAATCACCTAGTCACAAAAAGTCAGAAACATTTCCAAAAGTTCTCAATTCAAACTGGTTCTCGTCCAAACGCAAATAACCAGCTAGCCGGTGTTACTAGTCTCTACCAAAACGTCTAGACTAGTCACACGGCTATTCAAGAACGACATGATCCATTCAAATTCCTTTACAAAATCCTCTTGCAATACAGAACAGCATGGAACCTCCTGTTCCATCTCCAAAACAGTTCTTCACACAGAGATATCTTCTCATAGCTCCAAACTACCGTGGAGAACAGAATGTTCTGCTCGACTTCTCAGCTAATATCCAGTCATCAGCAGTCATAGCGCTAAAGTAGTTCGCTCACCACAATAACCAAACGTCAGCAATAAGTCACAAAGACAAAGGTTACAAAGCAGACTTCCAGATCAAATACCCAGAGGTTGACTACTATACGTAGGCATTGTCCTCACAATGCCGAAGTATCTCACATACTCGCAAGAGGTAATCAAAGGACTTCACAAACATCTCAGATGTTTGAAGCAACGTCAATAATCGAAACGGAGGTTCCAAAACCATCTCCGTCAGATTCACACTCCCACAAGGAGTCAAGAAATCTCCGAGATCGATGAAACCACATCATTCCGACTCAACTGTCTAGCGAATGCTTCTGAAAGCATTCGCCCATTGTCATAAAGCTAAATAAAGCTTCAAACTGTATTCAAAGGAGAATCGAGATCCAAGTAGATTCACTTAGACCCACAGGTCGATATCTCAAATCGTCTCTTGCAGCTCCAAAATACCACAAAGCAATCTCGAGACCACTCAAGTCTGATGCAGACACCTTCCCATAGTCCAGTTTCACCACTAAAGGATCAATGAAGGTCATGTCGCACCAATGCCAAGTTGCAACCCCGTAAGGGATACAAACTTCCACACCCCCTTTCGACAGGACATTCATTTCTCTCTATACATACTCAAATTCATATCCAGTATGAACTTCGCCATACCTTCAAGGTCAAACTCGTAGAATACGTCGTATTCGCCAGGAGACTTCGATGCTCCAAGCACCTCAACGGAAAATGAAGTCTAAACTCCTCTGAAACATTCGAAGTTTCCAAAAACATATAACTGTCTCTGAGAAATCACCTGATCCTCAAAGAAATAGACGGTTGTTCCTCCAACACGTCGCTCATCGTAAATAAACAGCCTATCCATATCCACAACCATCGTCAGCGCGGATTTCAGCAATACTCCATAGACGTCTTCATGGGCACAGTTCCCATCTATCCTTAACCAGTCAACATCACCAGGTCAAAATCCATCGACTGATCAAAGAGACCATGGCGTCAATTCACGATCAACTACAGTGCCTTTTTGTGGTTCCCTAGAACAGACGGAAACAAAACAAAACACCAACAACACACACACACGAGATCCAAGACGGAGACAGACGAAGCACTGTCGGAGTCAACACAAAAACAAAGGCCGACTGTTTCAGCTAATCCACGTCTTCCATTGGAAGATAGGCGTGTCAGACAAGCGAAACTGTCATCAGTCCAGAATACTCAGATAAAATCCACTTTCGTGGAACTAAGAATTAAGCTCATGGCCTTGCGGTACCACGCAGACACAGCTTCAGACAAGCTGTGCGAGGCGCGCTAAGCTCAGGACATATTTCCAAAAAATAAAACAGATCTTGCCCCTTTTTGAGGTAAAATCCGCCAATCCACTAAAACATCACCAAAATGAATTCTGGTCAGCATAAAAGCTGATCTGTCGCATGTCGAACAAACAAGCAAAAAGAATCAAAACAACTTGCGACCATTTTAGTTACAAACATATTGACTACGTCAGAGAAATCCATTCCACTGACACCAACATATTTAGAACCGTCAAGAGGACAATTCCAACAACATTGACATGAACCTCAAATCCGGGATATCCAATCCACTGACATCCATGAATAAAACAAAACCAAAAACACCTTTACATGTGTTTCCATCAGACATTTAGCCTGGATCCTCTGTGATTCTTCGCTTATTCGAGAATCGGATCTGGCCATGTCATCATCTGGAAAACGGCGGCAGACAAATACAAACCACCATCAACGAAAAAAACAACACTCACAAAACACAAACTCGCAACGAATCCACAAACATGCTCATGAGCCACTTGTGTCCCATCCATGTCCTGTACATCCACTTACGTATCACCAAAATGGATCCTTCCAGGATACAACCCAATGAAATTCCTTGCCCCCTTTCAAGATCTGCTTTCCATCTCTCCTTTTCTGCTGAGCACAGATATCTGAAGCGACGGCAACGAATACATGCTGTATAGAGTGAACCTCGAGCTGGCCAAAGGTGGTAATACCACTCACCAACTATTCTCTCCACCGCACAGGTGGCAAAGAAACTTCAAAGGATAGTGCACATCATGGGTTCCACCCAAAAAGAGCGATCGGGCCTCTCTCAACTCTCTCAGTATCCAATGTCCCGAACCTCCACATTTTCAATAAATCCTCCTGAACTGGGAATTCCCATCACGAATCATCCCCAATCCCTGGGGAGCCCAGATGCTGGTGATTCCGCTGATTTGTTCAGAACGGTATGGCGTCGGTGACAATGTCCTCTGCACCCCCGTTCCCGCATCTCTGGTAACGATGCCCACACGCTGGCACGGTGTTGGGATCGGAAGAGGAGCATTTGGTCTCGGCCCATTCGGCTGTTCCGGACAGAACGCCATAAAGAGTGACACTGGCTCTGCCGCACGTGGTGGAACCGCTGGGGCAGGTGGAACTGCTGGAGCAGGTGGAACTGCTGGAGCAGGTGGAGCTGTTGGGACATGAACATGTGGTACTGACATCGATTCACCCGTATTGGAAATCCCGCCCGCTCCATGTGCACCTAGCATTCCCGGCGTCAGCGGTGCCCCACTTTCGCCCATTGTAACTGGACGTTCCCCCAGGAGTCTCACCACCTCTTGAAGATACCCTCCAATGCTTTCAAAGCCCTCTTTGAGGTTGGTCTCCAACTTCTGAGCTTGCTTCTCAACCTCACCTTGGACTCCCTGTATATTGGTCTCCACCGACTGAGTGCCAGCTAGAGCCCAACGACCAGTGTTAGCCCACCGATCAAAGGCTTTGAGAAGCTTGGTGACTTCTCCAGCTTGAAATGCCACTCCTGCTGTCATCGTGGTGATACAATGGTTGGTACTTTTGATCTGTGTACTGAGCTCTTGGAATCCCTTTTGCAACTCCAATCTTCCATTGTTGAATTCATCAAAGTAAGACCCAGATCCTCAATCACTTTGCCGATCTTCGTGGTACACTCCGAGAGCTTCTGAGCGAGTTCCAAGATCTCCATACCACTAGATGCTGGTGGTGGCACGGCAGTCATCTCATCCGGAACTCTCTCTGGTACACCCGGGGCTCCCTCTGACATATCTGGAGGTCCCTCAGTCATACCTGTGTTTCCCTCTGTTATGCCCAGGGCTTCCTCAGGCACACCTGGGGCCCCCTCTGGCATATCTGGGGTCTCAGATTCAGCTGCCTCACGTCCTCGGGACCTGGAACGGGCTCGTCCTTCCTCGGCCATTTTCAGCGTGCGTTCTAGGCGCGTTCTAGGCGCGTTCTAAGAGCTTGCAGCACTCTACTGGACAGTCCCGGCTGACAATGGAGCCTCATGCCCTATAATCTCAATGTCACAAGCACCAGACAACCAAATCAACCAACCTGTTGCGTAAGTTCAACAATATAACTAACTGACGAAAATGTTTCCCAAAATGCCAGATGTCTCCAACATACTGGAATTTTGCGAACCATTGACACATATGTTTCAACATGCAATAAAGGTCTGTGTTCGTCCTCAAATCATGGAGATTGACCAAACCCCTGTACAAAAATCAGTCCTCAATCCATGAAGGACCACCATGAATTCAGGTTTACCGTGCGCTCCCTACGATATGCAGTGCAGATTCACTGTCTCTCATTGACATGCATGCAGGTATTCTGGAAGAAAACATGTCTCCGTGGTTTCGCGAGAACCCTTTGACAAGTCATCTTCACAAAGCTGCACCCACCAAACGGCACACTGACAGCAAATCTCAATTGCAAATAAGAAACAAGGCGCATTAAAAACACACACAAACTTGTTTGGGTTTCACGTTTCGTTCGTTTCGTTTGTTTCGTTTAAGTTGACAATTCCACACGATTACATCTTCTCATCTTGCAACATGTTAGCATCGACTACCAAAGCATTCTTTCATCGGCCACAGGCATCCAAAAAGGGGATTCTTCACCAACTTGCAACAGCTGGCACGGCTCAAACAAAACCTAAAGTACAATAATCTACAACTTGCCCACTCTTCAGTTTCCAGCAGGACGCTCACGTACTGGCTCATTAGCAACCATGGGGTCAATGATCTGATAGAGCAATCTTCCCTGCTCATCACGTTCTTCTGGAACAAGAAATCCATACCAACGAAACTCACCAGGTCGAAGCTTCTCCAGTACATTTGCTTCCATCTTCCGAAAATAGCCCAAAGCAGTTATCTCTACCTGAAGGAGGCTGTAATCGAAGTAGTTGTGAGCGTTGCACCAGTGAGCATCTGTGCCACGCCCGATGGGCGCATGGGTCGCACTCAAATCTATCCTGGAGGTATAGATGTCTGGCTGGACTCTATGATGCGTCCGCAGCTCCTCCATCTGTGGTGGGGCGAGAGCTATCCACAGACGAATGCTATCCTCCATTGATTTCAAATCGAGATTACTTCCCAGACTCAGCAAAGAAAATGGCTTCGCGACATCGATGCAAACATGCAGCTCAATTGCTTTTCCATGTGGATTAACACTCACTGCAAATTTCTGTCCATGCTGATCTCTTGACTGTGAACTCTGCCGCTTACAGTTCTTCCAAACCAACGACCTACCAATCTACAGTCACCTTCCAGTTCAACATGACAACTCCACACGTCAAAACTCACAGTTTCACTACAGCAAATCCAACAAAAAAACAAACAAACTGTTCGTCCGTCACATGAGCAACGCAGACTCATATGCTGCTAAAGCTGCTGAAGACACTCTTTCTTCTTTCTCTTCTGCATTTCAAACTGGAGTTTCAAAAAAACATACCTAATACTCCATGTTCTGCCCAACTTCTGGACTTGGACCCTGACTATTCAAATGAACTTGACGGCCATCTCACTAATGCGGTACAACATGCGCCCTTGGCTATCCCTCTCTTCATGCTTCACAGGCCCATGCCAGCGATACTCGGTGGGCTTTGTCTTCTCCAAGATTCCGCCCTCAACCTTTTGAAGGTAGCCAAGCGCTGAGATCTCCATCTCCATCACTGCATAGTCTTTCTGATGGTACTCACCTTTCAATCCATCAGGCGTCCAATCCATAAAGTATTGAGCACGATTCACCGCTTCCGCAGGCCCCAAACGCAGACCAAAGCGACCGGAGTATCCATCTGGAAAAACCTCATCCCCCTTGTTCAACTCTTCCAGCTGCTTGGGCTCTAAAGCAATCCAGAGCTTAAGTGACTCCATGTTCGAAAACACACACAATGCAGCGGTCTCAAATGCTCTTGACACGAAACAGCTAGAAAACGGCTGCGGAAACACAAGCAGGCTATCTAACCACAACTCATACATTCAAAACAAACTATCAAGCATCTTGCTAGTGAAAACATCACAAAAAACCGACCTAGTGGCTTTCTCTGTGTCGCTTTCAGCTTCTCCTTTTCTAGCCAACGACCATCTACACCTCTAGGTCACATGTGATCCACGTTTCACGCTCGCAGCAAAACAAAACACATTTGTCCATTTCTGTCCAGGCAACCAACCGCAAAGCACTAAGGCTACTTCCACTGGCGTCTCCTCACAAGGTGAACAAGTTAAGGCTCATCGGTAACACTCAGACCAACTTCTCTGAGTAGTTCTTCTTCCAAAACAGTCTCTGGCTTGTCGTCCACATCTGTCAGCTCGCTGTCTGAATCATACGGAAGGGGACTCTGCACATCGTCTCCAGAATCCAGTACTCTTTCTCCACATTCACTTGCAAGTCTCGCCGCATCTACCGGAGGCTGTTCCCTCTTGATGCATGCCACACCTTCATCCGCATCTATCACAACCGGAGTAGGCGCCGTGGCAGCATCAATGAGAGGTGCCCGACGTTTCCTGGTGGAGAAAGGCTGACTCTTCCAGGACTTATCCTTCACCTTTGTAGCAGCCATCGTAGCCTTCTTGTATTGACATTCCTTGGAGTGAGACATTCCAGTTCCACTTGGGGTTGGCTCCTCGTTCGGAAGTTCTTTCTGGTCTTTCCGGGTAGACATGGCAATCTGATCTACCTCTGAACCTCTTGAGCAATACTTGAGCCCCATCAGTGACATGCATGATTTCCACTTTCAATCATCCACAGTGCACTCCAAGACATAAAGTCTTCATGCGTATTGGGCTCAAATAAAATCAAATCTACCTTCAGATTGAGTAGCACTGAAACGACAATTTTTTGTGGCCGGCGCCATTGTCTTTCGACAGGTCACCACACTTGAGGCTTACCTGCGGACCAGCGGGGAGTCGAACCACCACCGGTAGTCTGTCCGCGTCGTCAAGAACGACGCCCTACCAACTACTCCACAGGGACGTCTAAGTAGCACTGAAACGACAACTCGGAAAGTGCTCTCTACTGACTCATCCCAGTCACCTGATACACCTCTTCTTATCACTCCTCCTCTATGGACCGACTGAGTTCAAGACCGAAGACATGCCTCAATTGCTTGCAGGAACTCTGTACCTCACACCATCAGTTCCCAACCTTTGCACTCTGATCCAATACCTCAGTGTCCAGTGTCCAACCTGGTCAGTCGCTCTACCAGATTATACGAATCAATTCTTCTCGTCCTTACCTGAGTGTGTTCCAATTACAAGGTTGCAGCAAGTTACCTACTGTTACCTCATACTGCCGAAACGAATCTCGTACGTCCAGGAACATTCCATCCATGCATACATCTCCAGATACTCCAGCGTAGCCTTGCAAGAGTGACCCTACGCTAGCAATACATCACGCCATGACACAGACCCCCACCAGAACACTGCCAAGACCACATGGACGCCTTCCAAAGACTACGCACCTGCACAAGGTGGAAAAAAAACTTGCTCTGGCAGAATCCACTGTCAACACAAACTCAACTCCTCCGTCCAAGTCACAAGTGTCCTGCCCAGGGCTAACTAATCTTGTATGCTCTTCTACGGGTACCACTGTCGACAGTTTACATGGATACCTCAGTACGAGCTCATCTCTGCTTCTGCGTCCAGATCACGGAGCTTCAATATCCAAGATCCCAATCTCACCTTAGATGACGTCCTTAGCATCTTGTCACAAATAAGGGTTGCGGAAAATGGTGTGGGTAGCCCTTTTCAGGGCTCCGCTACCATGTGAAAAACGTAAATCCAAGTACAGTCGAGGTCCTTTTATGGCCGCCATGGTTGCTTGCATTTGGTGCAGGTGGCTGTTTGTTTTGGACTGATCATCTCGAAACATGCATAATGACATCTTGTTTGCCATATAGATGCAAGCTCATAGAAATACTGGGGAGGACCGCCTTTGGGAGTCCAAATTCTATATACCTTTCCAACCCCAAAAATGGGCATGAAACAAATCGAACAGTTCAGTGACATCATCTTGCACTTCTTGCGGTTTCTTGCGGAGTCGTCTGGAGTCGCAAAGTTGGAACTCTTTCAACCCTTTCCACATTGTAAATGGGGTTTCAGCAGGTGTACCGACTCCGCCCGACCTCCGGCAAGACTCCGCAGCTAAAGACATCAAAACTGGCACAAAACTGTGGTAAAACCGAAGTTTTGCATCTCTAGCCTTCTTACGGAATCTGCTGGAGTCATGAAATCGAAACTCTTCCCCCAATGTAAACAAAGGATTCATCCGGTTTAAAATATATACTATTATTCTTTAACCGGATGATACTGAACTCCGGGCGACATACATAACCCGACCCGCAAAGTTGCCGCGTTAGGAGTCTAGGGGGGCGAAGGGGGGGATCCCAAAAACAAACAACGCATCAAGAGACCAAAACAAAACTGAGCCTTGCAAACGCAACCAAGAAAAAGCATCCCCGCAGTCATGTCCGCAGCGGAATCAAGCACCTCACCCACGCCATGTTGCAAAAGCCTGCGACAACAACACCCAAACAATTCCAAACAACATGGTGCTTTGGCAAAGACTGGCGACATGCAGGCGGGGCTAGAGACCTTCAATCAGCAACCGTGTTCCCCGGAATCCTGCCATTCCGTTACACTTGCAAAAGTATTGCTTTTTGGTAAAGCTGCGGCATTTTTCGCAAAAAAGGTCACTGCAGCAATCTCATTTTCGAGGCCGTAAACCCATTGGCTTTTTGGACTCCAAAAAGTGGTCCTCCCCAGTTGCGTTGAAGCTTGCTGCTTGAACAAAATCCAACTTTCATTTATTTAATTTATTTGAGTAATGTAAGAGCTTCGTGTTTCGAGCAGGTCGCAAGGTTCCACACTGCCAAAAATGGGATTGCCACGCGCTACCGCTTTTCGCTTTGGACAGGGC